GTGAAGAATGGACATATGTCTTTGAGATACCTCCCAGGACTAAAAATCCTAATTGCAACAATTCCCTCTCACCACTACTCCCTTTCAAATGCCACATCTGGATATGGTCATCATGCTTTCAGCCCCCTGCATGGCATGAAGGAACTTCCACATCATGGGCAGTTCGGGGCCTCAGCTGGTGAGCCTCGCTCAGTGGTAAGGAGGTGAGGCATTGGCAGGTGGGAGACAGAGAGGGCACTATCTGTTTTTTTTTTCCTTTTCCTGACACAAGAGGATGGGCTTAGGGTGAAACTTAATTACCATCTCACACGTGGTAAAATACAACCACAACCTCCAAACAAGGAAAACTCTCATTACAACCCCCTTTGTGTTCATTTGTACTGAAAAGCAAAACCATTTCTCCTTAACATACCTAGTGAGGTCTACGTATCAAAGAGCCTGAACAGAGGGACGTCAAGCAGGGGTTTGTATATGTTCCTGCAAGTCGTCTGCCCATACCCTCTACTTGATCTACTTCTCTCAGAATCTTGTGCCCATCGATGACCTATTGCATATACAAGTATTTTTCTTGTTTATTATCTGTCTCCTCCACAGATTTGTGGAGGGATTTGTCCGTATTGTTCCCCGTTGTATCCCAACAGTGCCTAATGGACAGTTGATTTTTTAAGTAGGATTATCTTGAAATTAGAGAAAACTTTGGGGACAAGTGGTTTATTTGAGAGATGACCTCAGATACAAGAAGTGAGGAAATGAGAAGAGTAAGGCAGGGGAGGAGGAAAAGTCAACTGGGGGCACCTGGGTGGGTCAGTAGGTTAAGCATCTGTCTTTGGCTCAGGTCATGATCCCAGGGTCCTGGTTGAGCCACGCATCAGGCTCCCTGCTCAGTGGGGTGTCTGCTTCTCCCTCTCCCTCTTCCTCTGCTCCTGCCCCCCACCTCGTGCTCTCTCTCTCTCTCTTAAATAAATAATAAGTAAATAAAATATTTAAAAAAGAAAATTCAGCTAAAGGGAGGCTATTGCTAGAGGCAAAGGAAGCTTAAGAAGATTCCAGAAGCTTCTGGGAATGGTCCACACAGAGGACAGAAAATGGGCTCCTATCCCCCACTGACTGAGGGTTGTCCTCTGGGATGTTAAGACCCATGTACTTTCAGACTAAACCTCTTCTGGGTTTGAGTTTTGAGGCAGAGAACTGCAAAGGGGTGCTTTAAAAGCTTGAGATGGGAACACCGTCTGAATGCTCAAAACTACCCAGTCCAAATCCAGCTAGGGGTACCTGGGTGGCTCAGTCAGTTAAGCATCTGCCTTTGGCTCAGGTCATGATCTCAGAGTCCTGGGATTCAACCCTGCATCAGGCTCCCTCCGCTCCCCCAACAGCCAGAGCCAGAGGTGGGACATTAGCTGTAGTGAAGGCACCAAAAGCATCTACCTTAAGGGGCATTAAGCAAGTACCTTTAGTGAATAAATGGATTCTCCTTAATGCAGATAAACACATGCATTAACTGGAAAAGTGGGGGGGGGCAGGCACACCTTGCTTTAGAAGTGGTCAGAGTTATTAGTACCCTCTGACCCATTAAGAAGGAAGACTTATTAGTATGGCCATGGAGTTCAGACCCCTTTTAACTTTTTATTTTCCCAGAGAATCTTCTATAATATATCCCTGCTCAGAATTCAATTCCTAGAGGGGAAGTGGCTACAACTTTATAGCAAGTTATAAAGGTCCACTGCATAAGCCCTTCTTCCAGCTTCTGATAATCCTTGTCACTTTTGGCTTCTTCTTAAGGCATTTTTACTCTGGTGTCTTGACCACTCCTTCAGACACCTTACTCTGGTGTCTCAGCTCCCTCTTCTCCACTCACCGTCTTGCTCTCAATGTGCCTAGAGGTGTCCACTTATTCACCTGCCCTCCTAGGCACCCGCTAGGCTGGCAGTCACCCTCCACCCAAAGACTCTGGTCCACACTTCCAGTGCCTCTATGTCCTGAGCTTAGGGCTCATTCTCAACCTGTTCCTGGGACATCCACACACAAGCAATGAGTTCAATCTTAGATTAGATTACCTACCTCAACCCCGTACCCGGCCCTCACACCTGAACTCACACCTGGTCTTGGGTAACACTCCACCTACCCACTTGTCTCACAACACAGAGCCCCAGTGTCAGCCTCAGTCACCTAGTTTCATTGCCTCTACAAGCTTCTCTGACATCAAGAGGTTAACAGTGCCTGTCCCGGGATAATGGAATTTTTCTTCTTTTCTCTACTTTTACTGATTTTCTGAATTACCTCTAATGAACACATTGCTTTGATAATGTTTGATATGTTTCATAATAACTAATAGGCTTCATAATCCATTGTAAACCAAAATATAAATCTATCTTTATCCCATCTGGCCCTCCTAATAGATGCAGACTTACAGCTTCTCCCCACTTGGAATGCTTCTCATATTACAACCAGACTCATCTTTCTAAAATCAGAGTCTCCTTCCTCTGCTCCCCCTCAACAAAACATTTCTCTGGGGGACACCTGGGTGGCTCTGTCAGTTGAGCGACTGTATCTTGATTTTGGCTCAGGTCTTGATCTTGGGGTCCTGGGATGGAGCCCCCTGCTGAGCATGGAGCCTGCTGAGGATTTCTCTCTCTCTCTCCTTCTTCCTCTGCCCCTCCCCCCCACCCTAAAGCACTCACTTGTGGCCCCCCCTCAAATAAATAAATAAATCTTTTTTAAAAACCCCAAAAAATACTTCTCTGGGATCATCTCCCACCTCCTGCACCCCGATAGTCCCCCAAATACATCAGAATCACTAGGGGGCTGTCTGTTTACTTGTTTTTTCTGCTCCCCCATCATATTGTCATCATTGTTCGTGCTGCATCCCCAATGCCTGGCACAAAGCAACTGTTCAATAAATATTAATTATTAATTAAGTGGATGGAAGGAAGGGTGTTAAGTCACTGGCTTACCACAGGGAAATTCTATAGCAGTGGTTCTTAAAGTGCGTTCAGGGGCTCACCAGCAGGCGCATCATTGGGGAACTTGTTAGAACGGGAGATTCTTGGGCCCCACCTCAGAATCAGAGACTCAGGATATCTGAACAAGCCTTTTAGGTGATTCTGTTTTGTAGCAAGTTTACGTTCCCAGAAATGCCTTGGCCACAGTCACAAATAAAACTAGTTCCTGCAACTGAACTACACACTCCTCAGCAGCCTTGTGGAAAAAACACTGGAAAACATCTTATCTGCTGCTGTTTCAAAAATGTTGCCTGTAGGTTGCAGAAATACAGCAGCCTCTAGAGTTTAGAAAAGGGGATGCAACCAGAAGTGTCCCCCCACCAAGCTCTCCCAGCCACCCCCACCCTGACCTCCATGCCCCCATGCAAGAGTCCTCACAGTCCTGCCCATGTAGGGAACCCTACAGCTGAGTACAGGTGCCAGTTTTGAAAAAGGCACTTCCAAGTCCTTCTTAAGGGAAAGGAGGAGAGGAATGAAGGGCTCCGGGGCTGGACAAGGGACAGATGTGACCCCGAGGTCTCGGGCTGGGAAGATTCTTCTTCTTCTTCTTCTTCTTCTTCTTCTTCTTCTTCTTCTTCTTCTTCTTCTTCTTCTTCTTCTTCTTCTTCTTCTTCTTCTTCTTCTTCTTCTTCCTCTTCTTCTTCTTCTTCTTCTTCTTCTTCTTCTTCTTCTTCTTCTTCTCTTTTTTTTTTTTTAAAGATCTTATTTGTTTATTCATGAGAGACACACAGAGAGAGGCAGAGACACAGGCCAAGGGAGAAGCAGGCTCCCTGCGGGGAGCCGGATGCGGGACTCCCTCCCCCGCCCGCGGATCACAGGCTGGGCCGAAGCAGCCGCTCACCACTGAGCCACCCAGGCGCCCCCTGGGAGGACTCTGCCGGGCGGCCAGGGCAGTCCCGGCTGGGCGCAGCTCTTCGAGCCTCGGTTTGCCATCTGTGAAATGGGGTTGGCAGTGCCTTTCGCCCAGATGCGGGGGACTTGAGCGCCAACCCAGACGGGCTGGCCGAGATGGTTTGGCCGCCAGGGCGCCCCGGCTCGGGTGGCCTCGCTCGGCAGCCAGGGGCGCGACGGCGCCGGGCAGGACGCGGGGGCCCGCGGGCGGTCAGTGACGGCCGAAGTCCTGTCCGAGCCGCGCCGGCGGGGGTCCCGCGGGGTGTGAGTGCTCGGCGGCCGGGGAGAGGGGATGGGGTGCGGCGCAGGGCTCTTCGGGGCACTCTGGCGCCACTGGTCGGCGACCCGACCGGGGGCTAATTCGACCGCGACCCGGAGGCAAACAGCCCTTTGCCAAGCTCCGAGCGAAGTCCCGAGGCGTCACCCTCGCTCTACAGCTGCATGAACAGAGAGAGGCCCGGGACCCCAAGGGCCCGCCGAGGCCAAAGCCCTTTCACTGACCCGGGAACACCTGCCCTGGAATCCTGGGGAACCTCCAGGGCTTCTCACGGGGCCGAGAAGAAGGGAGGACCCCTCCCTCCCCCAGGAAGCCCCCTCAGTGATCCAAAAAAACAAAACACCCCAAAAGACGAACAAACAACAAACCACAACAACAAGCCCAGAGCTGCCTGAGCTGCTCCAAGCGGGGCGCAACCCCCCTCGCCCCCGCACCCCCCACCCCCAGCTCCGAATTACACTTCGCGGACCCCCAGCCCGGGCCAGTTCCCCAGCCCGCCCCTGGCCTCTTCGGGGCCCCTCCGGTCCCCAGGGCCGACCTAACTGGGCAGCCCCTCCATCCTGCGGGAGGTTCCCGACACCCTGGTGTCCCGCCCTGGAGAGGAAAGGGCGAGGGAGCGGGGCGCAGCCGGGACGGGAAGCCCCTCGGGCGGAGAGGCGGGCTGGACCCCGGGGCGGGGCGGGTCTCCGCTGGCCACCGCCCCTCCGCTCCCGGAGCCGCCGCCGCCCGGCGCCCCAGCGGGCCCCCCCCCCCCCCCCCCGAGCGCGCGCGGCCGCGGGGCTGCGTCACGTGCCGGCGGCGCCGGGAGCGCCTATTTAAGGGGCGGCCGCCGGCCCACCTGCACCTGGCTCGGCTCCGCCGCCGCTCCTGGGCTGCGCCGACCCGCCCCGCCGAGCGCCGCGTCTTCGCTTCTAGCCCACGAGGTAGGTTCCCGGCCCGGCCCTCGAGGTGGTGTGAGAATGCGGTCCGCAGTCTTGTGCCCCTTCCACCTCATCTTCCTGTTTTCTGCACCTTCTTCCCGACAGACAGCTCGGAAGACCTTTCTTGAAGTCAGAAACGCAGAGGGGGCTGGGCGGGCAGAGCGGCTGGGGTCTTCCGAGCCGGCTTCGTCCCCGTGCCCTGCCCGTGCCCGTGCCCGTGCCCTGCCCTGCCCTGCCGCGCCGTGCCGGGATAGCTATTTGCTAGGATTAGCACGCGACCTGGGCGTTGCAGGATGTTGCACGGAGGTGCGGTGCACCCGGCAGTCTCCTCACATAGACTCCCAAGGGGCTTTAAGATTTAAATCCACTTTCTAAATATTGCAGGAAATGTCAAGGCTTTGGGGTAGAAAAGCGCGGGTGTCGTGTCTGCTCGTGGATCTCGAAGGCGACGGCGCTTTGCCAACGACAGAAGACCAAGCGCTTGTTTCTGATTCTCAAAAGCCCTTTGGGTTTTGCATCGTAGTTTGTTGCCGGCTCCCGTGTGCACCTCAAAGAAACTTTAGAAGCGCGGCTTTGATTTCTCGCTCCTGCATTTTAAGCTGCGCTCCTCTCTTTTTCACCCTTGATCCCCCCCCCCCCCCCCCATTGAAAGCTTCTTAGCTCTCAGCAGCTTTAACTCTTGCTTTTCCAGTTGCAAGACGGGCTCCCTAACAACACTTTCTGAAACTAAAGGAAACAAGACATTTCTTCTGCCCGCCCGGGCGGAAGGCCGGGTCCCCGTCGGTACCGGGCACCGGTGGGGCTCGTCCCAAGGACACAACGGGGTGTGGCCGCCGCGTGCCCCCGCGGCGCCTGGCGAGCCCCTGCCTTGCACGGGCGGGCGCGGCCGCAGCCCCGCGCGCTTGCCCTGAGCCCCCGGGGCCTCCGCCAGAGCCCGCGAGGCCCCCCGCCTTTTCGTTCACGTCCCCTGTCCCATTGCTGTCCCGCAGCCATGAACGGCGGCGTGTGCCTGTGCGTGCTGCTGGCGGTACTGGCGGCGGGCGCCCTGGCGCAGCCCGTCCCGGCCGACCCGGCGGGCCCGGGGGCGCAGCGGGAGGACGAGGCGCCCCGGAGGCAGCTGAGGGCAGTGCAGAAGGTGGACGGCGAGCCCCGCGCGCACCTGGGCGCCCTGCTGGCCAGGTACATCCAGCAGGCCCGGAAAGGTACGATGCTCATTCGCCTATGGGGTCCTTATTCCTCTGACCCCGCCTGGGGCTCCCAATCCTGAGCCTCTTCCCCAGCGTCCTGCTGATGGAGGTGGGTAGCCCCTGGGAAGGAAACAGGCGGTGCGTTAAGCTGAAAGGTTTTTTCACTTTCGCCCCCCCCCCGCCCCCCATTGCACTGCGCTGGACCGTACAGTTTTCTGGCCTCCTTTTGTAGAAAACTGAGAGCGAATGCGGTGGATTCAATTAATTAAGGAAAACCTTTTTAAAAGAGCTTTCTTGAACTAGTGTTGGCCCGTGTTGCTGCTTAAGTTCAACGCTGTATTATGAAGATATTAAAAGGTAATTATGAAGCAAATTACTGACTCTAAAAGACTTTGCAGATCTACCAAATACCCAATACTGGAAATGCAGAGGAACCAGGAGCCACCCAGGTGTGACGCTTGGAAACCCCCTAGCAGGAAGGCATTGATGCTGAGAAAGCTCTTGCGTTCTGACAACAGTTGAAAAAAAACAGTGACAAAAAAAAAAAAAAAGAAAGAAAAAACAGTGACGATATGTGTCAGTTTTCTTTCCAACAGGAGGAAAGAATCAGTAGCAGTCTTGAGTTCTCCTTGGCAGTGATTTAAAATGATTACTCAAGAGACCTGTTTGTTTTTATTTTGCTGTTAGCGAGGTGGTCCCAATTGCAGCAGGACTGTGCAAGCCAGGTTTCTCAGCATCGAAGTCTGTCTGCGGGATTATGGTGATTTGGTGGCTCACGAGCAGGGTGACATACTGACAGTCCCTTTCCTGGGCCTGTCTCATCTGTAAAGCACAGAGGAAGCTAGAGTTCCCTAGGTCCCTTCTAGCATTCTGTGTGATTCAGAGGGAGGCTCATTCATCTGTAGGCTCCTTAGGAATCATGATTGGGACTGAAACAGTTTTTTTTTTTTTTCAACAAACTTGATCCGCTGTGACATGGATGGCTGTGGGGTGGTGTGCTAAACTAGACCAATGCAGCCAGCCAATAAACCACAGAAAATGCTGTTGGGAAGGGTAGAGGGTGCACCCCTTTCCCATGAGGCTTTCTGACCCTCCTGTGTGCCAGGGAGGCTTTCCTTGACTAGACAAGGAAAAAATGATGAGCTTGGCTTTCCAGAGTCTCTGATGGTTTCATATGAAGGTAAGATCAAAACTTTTTCGACCAGGGGAATTCAGAAGGAGAAAAAATAAAAAGATGATTTGTTATATTTTGTCCGCTCTTTGGGAAATTGTCCCAGCTACCATCTTCTGTTTTGCTTTCTAACTAAAATTAAATTAAGAGATGTTGGAAATATTAGATGACAGAGAAAGTCTGAAAACTTCTTGAATTCCTATTGATTATCTGTCTCAAAGTAATTTAATATCTGTCCTTGGATGTCAGTTGAACTTCAGCCAGACCAGCCCGAAATATCATAGGTTTTTCACTGAGCTGTCATCTGGAACCCCCTCCCCACCGTCAGGAAAGAGCCACGAGAAACAGGTCGGAGAAACAAGCCAGTTGCCAAACTACTTCCCCAGAACCGACACTTGGCAGTGGCTTTATACTACAAATCTTACTGGAAGTTTGTCCCTAGCATCTCTGCTCAGCCACTTTCTCCCTTTGCCTCTAGAATGCTGTACCACACAAACCCATGCGGGAATGGCAGCCCCTCGGGACTTTAGCTGCCAACACCCACAACGGGCACAAGGCAGAAAATAATCCTACTCGCCTATTTGACAAATATGAACCAGGAAGAAATATTTATACCTATCCTTGAATATTTTACACATTTTGAGATCATACTGGATATGTACTCAACTACAGTACTTATGCTTACAGATTCTAAACACGATAATGTACTCTTCGAGGAGTGCTCAAGAGTTTATTGTTAGAAATTAATTGTCTGCAGAGCTTTCAGTGATTGAGAAGCGATTCTATTGGGGGCAGGGGACATCTAGCATACACCTGCCCCATGCCCAACAAAGCTCTAATGCTACATCTGTAACATCTGTACTGTCTGTTATTCCTCGCTGAAGCCCTGGTTAGTAAGTTCCATTAGGCTCTGGGAGAATGTATAACCTACGTGACTTTGCACACCTGACACTCTGTTCAAGCCCTGCCCTCCCCAGCAGGTCTGGAAGCCAGTCATCTTCCCAGCTGTACTGCCATTCGGGGGGTTTTAAAGTTTAAAGGAGGCAGGCCCTTCAATTTAATTCTGTAAACCAGGTGTAGTTCCTACTTTGTGTCACACTGGAGAAGCGAAGTGAGGACCCAGGTAAATGCACACACTGTGAGCACAGAAATGTGCGTGGAATGGAGAGATTGAGGTGTGAAACCAGCACAGCTACCAGGGCTGAATGTGATTCCTGAACCACCCCCCTCCCCTGCCCCAGCCCAACAACCTAGGCTGCTTATGCACCTCGAAGCTGCTGCCGCTTTGCCTTCATTAACTGGAACTTGGGGCTATGCCCAGCCCTTCATGGCGGCATTCATCATCACCAGGCAGAAGAATGGGCCACATTTCTGTAACTGGGTACAAATAACTGGATATGCAAGGTTTTTTTGAATGCAGAGACTAGTATTTCACCTGAAAAATGCTGAACAATGAAACAGCCAGGTCTGTTTTCCTTTTGCATAGCTGGAGATATCTGCAAAGAGGCAAGAATGTCTGGATTGACTTTTGATCCCAAGGCTGGGAAGGGATTGAGGTGGGGATGTCAGGAGAAGAATGGGTGGGGACATTACTCTGTATAATTGTTTCTGGTTTTTAATTTAGCTAGCTTCACTTGGTTATCCAATAAGACAGAGAAACTGCTCCTGCAAGGTCATTTATCAATAAATAAGTCATAGTCTGACTCCTTGCAGCCTGTGGGCAGGAGCTGGCAAGGGCAGTCTCATACAGGAGGGTTCGATGCCAGCATCCCGAGCAGTGGGGTCACAGGGGCCCTCATACGATAGGAACCATGGAGCAGTCCTCCATCACTCTGCTCTTAAAGTCCCCTGGGCTTTCCCCCTTTGAGGTCCCTGAGGGACATTTCTTGCCTCTTAGCTTGCACAAAAGAAGGCATTATACTTATTTCACATCCAGAAGGTCACTGTCTGTGATCTATGGGCTAGGACTGTGTCATATGTCTCCAAAGAAACTGCTTCTTCATGTCCCTGTTTGCTCAATGTGAATTACACGTGAGAATCATCCTGTTCCTGACGACTTAACTCCTGAAGGTCCATTTCTCATTCAGTTATTGCATTTTGGTCAAAAGGGATGAATTAACCTCCTTATTACCTCTCTGCCCACTCTTCTTTGAGTGCCACTGAAGTAAGATTTTAATCTGACAGTGTGTCTTATTCTCATTATCATTTTGAAAAAGAAGGTAGCTTTCAAATTAATTTGTACACAGTATTTGTCTAGCAGTGGGACTTGACTCTATTTTTTTAAACCATTCTAACATCAAAATATTGTAACTAAAAAAAAAAAAACAAAAACAAAATATTGTAACTGCGTCACCTTAACAATAGTCAGGTATGCTCGGGATATCAAGGGGCAAATTCCAGAAATGGGTAAGTACCAAGGAAACCCTTGCTTGGCATCTACTGAGGGCCAGCTACCAAGGTGGAAACACCCCGAGGAGTAGGAAAACTAAGGCATATCTAAGCTGTGGAAGGCCACAATCTGTGGATTCACTTAAATCCTTATAGATTGGAAGCCATACCCATGGCTAGTAAATACTACTCTCCCTAGTGACACAGACTTGGGTCCTTCTCTTAGATTCTGGTCTAGCAATCCATCCCACTGTTGGACAGCTCTTTGATACCTTTAAGGAGGAGCATACTACGTATTGTCTGGCTTTTCCCATTGTTCTCCTTTACAGAGTGAAATAGTGATGCTCTTAGATGTAATGGCCCTGCTTCCTTTGCCCCTGCCCTTTGTAGCTCCTTCTGGCCGAATGTCCGTCATTAAGAACCTGCAGAACCTGGACCCCAGTCACAGGATAAGCGACCGGGACTACATGGGCTGGATGGATTTTGGCCGGCGTAGTGCTGAGGAGTATGAGTACCCCTCCTAAGGGACCCTGCCTTTGTCGGCACACCAGGAAGCAACCGCCTGGCTCAGAAGAGGCAGAAAAAGAAAACAATCACACTCATAACTCATTGTCTCTGAAGTTTGACATTTTCAGTATCTATTTATTAAGTTTTCAATGTGAAAAATGTCTGTAAGATTGTCCAGTGCAACCTCACACCTCACCAGAATTGTACAAATGGAAGGCAAAACATTTTCCTCGTCTGTGATGCGTGGTCCTAAAGTGTTGCTATGCTATTAAAATAATTTCATTCTGCTCCCTAGTCCCCTGTGTCTATCGAGCGCAAAGGGTTCCATATAATCCACAGGATCTTCAAGGAGGAAAGCCTGATAGATAATACCCAAGGACAAACCCCTGGCATAGATGGTCCCAGAGAGGGCTCGAGAGATGAGGGTTGGACATGAGGTTAACTTCTCTACTGCCAGGCAAAATGGCCAGTAAAAGGACCTTCTGGGTCAGTTCCATGGCCCAGCTCTGGCCACCCTGGGCGTGGGGCCCCTGCTGGGCTTCACTGCAAAAAGAAAACACGCCCTGCTTGTAGTGAGCACTCACTTGTCTGGGTAAAGACCAGAGATGCAGCTTGGGTTGGAGCCTCCCACCTGCCCATCGCGGTAGGATGTAGTAACACCATCCCTCACCAGGACTTCTTTGGGATTCTCTTGGCCTTTAAACAAATTATGGGGCAAATACTAGTCAGTGCTTTCACATCCCTTGGATCTCTCCATGGCCCTGTGGCACAGAGGTTATTGTCCTTTTACAGATGAGGAAACAGGTCCCAAGAGGTAAAAGTGACTGGCCCACAGTTCCCCAGCTAATGAGATTCACAGACTTGATCACTCCCAGTAGCATGACCTCCATCACCCCAGCCCTTCCAGACTCTGGAGTACATGTGAATCACCAGGGAATCTTATAACTCACACATTCTGATTCAACAAGTCTGGCCTTGGGCCTGAGCAAGCTCCCAGGTGAAACCAGTGTGGTGGGTCCTGGACCACACTTGGGGTGGCAGTGGTCTAGGGAGGAGCCTGTGATTACAATCCCCTGGGTCTAACCATATTTCAGAGACATATTTCATAGCATGTTGGGTGATTCTAGTAGCTACCTGAAGCAGAAACTCTCCTTTCTTGGGCCAATCCCTCCATTGGGTCTCTGTAGGGGTCCATAAAAGAAATTATTTCAAGGGGACACCCAGAGATATTCTGACACCAGCTACCCACAGTACAGTCTTTCTATGCCTCTTAGCCAAGGCTTCCAGGAACCTCAGGTTCCTATACAGCAAAGGCCCCAGGTGGCCTGATGCAGCAGGACATGCAGCCCCAAAGGAAAAGACATTGGAAAGAATGCTGGCGAATCTATAACTGGTCCCAGATGGTTCGTTCTCAGTCCAGGGCTACCCTGCAGGCACATAGTGCCATCTCCCTTGGTGGTAGAAAAATGACACCAGTCCTCTTTCTCTGAGGACTTTGCAATTCTTTAACTTGAAGTTAGCATTCAGTGCAAAACTTAGACTCTGAATAGACCACACATTATATTGTTCCTTTGTGAAGTCATTTCCTCGTTCAGTCCCTACAATATGGTCTCTGCTTTGTATCTCAGGGGTCCAAGCCCTGGCCAAATACTCAGGTGCATATGTTTTTAGTGCAGAACACACACATCTCACAAAACAAACCTTTTTTTCCAGGTAGGTAGGGGTTCTTGGGTATAGATGATGACCAGTGTGTGAGGGTGTGTGTGTGTGTGTGTTGGGGTGGAGGCTGGTGAAAGACTTAGAATTTAATATTAAGTCAGCAGTGGGGACTGGGTGAGAGAGGTCTGATCTGAATTAATAATTTATAAGTCATTGGAGAAGTAGATGGTAAAGTATCATTTTCAGAAATAAAGACGGGAATCATACCAATATAAATGAACATATATCAAAGATGTTATTTTACTCATTAATAAAGGACCAGTAAGATGTCCTATCATTTCAAAGGAGAATCTAAAGGACAGACACATAGAGGCAGTCAAGAATGCTGAAATGATGGGGCACCTGGTTGGCTCACTGGTTGAGTGTCTACCTTCGGCTCAGGTCGTAATCCCAGGGGCCTGGAATCAAGTCCCAAATCAAGCTCCCCCAGGGAGCCTACTTCTCCCTCTGCCAGTGTTTCTGCCTCTATCTATGTCTCTCATGGATAAATACATAAAATCTTAAAAAAATAGTACTGAAATGAATTTGCTGATGGACACAAAACTGGGTTGTATAGTTAGGCCAATAAAATGGAATGTGCAGAATAATCTGTTATCCAGGGCAGAAATAAGTTGTATTTTGGGGGGACAATATTCACGTACATTTCTATAGACAAGAAGTATTTGCAGGACTGTCAGTTTTCTGTGGCTTACAAAGTAGCCCAGTCGGAAACACAGACCTCAACAGCATCGTATCAATACCTGGAGCCCCACTGAGAGGACACCCACTAGTCCCCTTTGCTCATTTCAAAGTCTCACAGTTTTTCCTAATGCAGGAAAGGGGAAGGAAAAGAACATTTTCTGGCCTCCTCAGGGGTGCAGGACTCTGCACAAGGCAACTCGTGAGCACCTGTTCAGGATGCTGTCCCAATCCTGCAAGCAAGGTGACCCCATTTTTCAAAGAGGAAGCTGGAGCTCAGAGAAGCTCAGTGACTTATCTTGCACTCTGCTCACACATGGCTGTGCCAGGGTTGAAGCAGTCAATTCTGAACTTTTTATGAGGTCATCTAGAGCAGACACTTCGAGTCTGGCAGAGAAGGGGCTTGGAGACTCATCTGGAAATGTGTCTCCGTGAGTCTGAATTAGACTGAATTAGGGTTTGTGGTGGCTTTGATGGCACCCAGTGGGGTATACTGGGTCGGAGTGGGGAGCCTAAACATCTGTGCCCCAATCCCTCTCAGAGTCGCCACTGGATTCAGGCCAGTCTCCTCTACTGCCATGTACTGCTCTTGTCTCTATGCCACTTGCTGACACAGGGACCTAGAAGCCAGGATTGTATAACCTAGCTCTCCCTCAGCCCTTCCTTGGGGATCACATCGGGCTTCTGCAGCTAAGATGAGTAAGTGTCCCCCAGAAGAGCCCACAGTTCCTCAAGCCCTGCTTCACAGAAGCCTGGGAATGCACACACATTGGAAAGCCATGGTGCTCCCTTCCTTCCCTCCTCGTCCTCTCCCACTGCCTCCTCCCCACTCACACCTCTCCTCCCTCAGGAGCCCCTCACCATCCCCCTCCATTGCCAGCTGCTCCTCTTGAATCCCTTCTGCTTTCAAACCTCCACCCCAGACCATGGCCTCCTGCTGCTCACACTCTCAGTTCTGCTAATTAAGGCTGTTTTAAGGGTTCCTTTTTGTCAATCCATTGGAATTTACAAGTGGAAAAGGCCAATGACTATCATTCTAGCCCAACACACACTCTCCTCTACCCCAACTCCGATTTTATAGGTAATAAACTTACTGAAGATCACACACTGAATTAGTGGCAGAACCTATAGCCCTCTCTGGAATTAGTTCCTTGCTTCCTTGCTGGTTCCTGCATTTGCTCACACCTCTGGCCCTCTGGTTTAAGAGATCCAACCGGCCTGCTCTGACCAATGACCACTCAAGCCTCAACAAGACCAGCAGCCACAGTGAACAGAATTCACTTTCCCAAGATTTGCTTTGCCAAAATCTGCCTGTAACATATCTCTCCTATAAAGTGAGGAAATCTTTACACGGTGTACCTCAACCTACAGAGACCAAATGGCATCTTTGTTCTCTTGTTCAGCCAATCACAGATAAAAGGAAAGGGAAGATGGGAGAATGATATTATACATTCGTTCTTTTAACAACAACAACAACAACAACAACACAAAAACATCATCCTTTCTTGTCTCAGGTTGAAGAGCCAAAGGAAAGAATCTTGACTACTTGGTTAGATCTAAGTACCTTGAGTATTTTCTTTTTCAGCATCTTCAAATTATTGTGAGTCCTGAAAATAAATAAAGCAGAGGTCAAGCAAAAAAAGAGAAAAAAATTGTCTCACTAATTTCCCCTGGGCTCTGGAGTCTGAAAGGATATATTAAAATGATCTGTTTGTGTCTTTCTCCTGCTCTAAGATGTGTCCTCCCAGAGCACCAGGATCAGGGCCCTAGATGAGGGAGTGCCTGCCCCAGATTCTCCACCAAACACAATGCCCTTGCTGGACAGACCTTCCCCTAGACATCCTCATTATCAGTCCCACCTCTCTGACCTCATCTCTTAACAGGAACCCCTCACTCACTCATTATACTCCAGTCTCGTTGCCTCCCTTGCTATTCCTTGGAAACATCACTCCTACCCTAGGGCCTTTGCACCTACTGCTTCCTATGCTTGGCTCATTCTTTTTCCAAAAAGCATGGACTAGATCTCTCAGCTCATTCACCTCCAACATCATCTGTTCAGAGACTTCCCTGACCATTCTCTTAAGCTCCTCCATTGGTCTCTATCCTTTTCCTTGCTTCTTACAAGAGAACTTCTTGTGCTTATCATCACTTGGAATTGCATTACTTAATTTGTTTATTGGTTCTGTTTTACCCACGAGGACATCAGATCTGCTAGGGTAGAGATTTTTGTCTGTTTATTTCTTAATTCCCAGTATCTACCACAATGTCAGGTACATGGTAGATACTCAATAAATATTTGTCTAATTATTAATCAATAAGAGGAAAATATCTCTGGTTTTCTTCTAGTCAGGTTATATATTGGTTTTAGAAGCAACTTCATCCAAACACTTATTTTAAAAATCAGAGAAGTAAAGCAGGCTCAGGTGACACTACCATGTCTTTCCAAGATGGGCATAAAGATGAGAAACTGAAAAACATGATGTACACAATGCTGACAACATGTATAACATCCATGGAGATTGACATGGAGAGTATACTTTTAAAATATACCCTACCAAAAAAAATATATACCCCACCCCAGGGGTACTGGGTGGCTCAGTTAGTTAAGTGCTGGACTCTTGGTTTTGGGAGGTCATGGTCTCAGGATTATGAGATCAAGCCTCACATCTGGCTCTGTCTTGGGCATGGAGCTTGCTTAAGACTCTCTCTCCTTCTCCTTCCTCCTCTCTAAAAATAAAATAATAAACTAAATCTGACTCCCAAACACACACACACACACACACACACACACACACACATCCAGCCCTATTTCTTTTGCTGTAAGTTAAAATCCAGAAAGAATAGAGCAATTTCAAAGTAGGAAAAAGAAGAATGTTTATGGGTTTTGTTGCATTTAC